TCCTAATATAAACTATCTCAACTTTAACCTTACACTATAAGTTACTAGAACAGCGAGTAAAAATTTTTACAGTAGCTCTTAGTAGAAACCACAATAATTTGAATGAAATTATCTTAACTTTAACTGCATATTTCATCACCAGAATAGCAAGTTCTATAACACTTGCATTTTCTCATGATATTTAGAGATCTATTAATCAGAATTGAATAATTTTATTATTATTCAATTCATTTTACTAGAACAAGTCAAATGATTCAAAAATCAATTTTATTTAAAATTTATAGAATATTAGACTTCATGTTGTAGTTGAATACTTTTTTCTTTTTTTTTATTTGGGTAATTTTAGGAAAGAGATTAGCAAAGTAAAATATAAATATAATACAATATTAAATTATATTATACTATAATGCCCAACCTCACAAAGCATTACAGTTATTTCGATAATTTTTGAATGTTTAGATATCAATTTTTTTAATGGTTAGAGTTTTTTTTATTGTTAGATAGTAAGTAGTTCAAATATTATATTATTTTGATAAATATTTTGATCAATTATTAATATGCTTTGTTATAGTAATTTTTTACTATTAGCAATTCTTAAGTGTACCATAATACCCAGCTCTGCTTTACTATATATCAACAGAATAAATATGTAATATAAAAATATTTTTAGTAGAAATTGCAATAATTTAAATGCAACCCAGCTATATTATAAGAATTTTAAGTTAGAATTCCTTATAGTAGTATATAATGCAACTCAACTATATAAGTTTCGCACTTACTAGAATTTTTATAGTAACTTAAAATAGAAATCATAATTATTTCGATGCAGAATAACAAGTATTTTTACAGTAGTATATGATAGAGTTTATGCTAATTCCAATACAAACTAACACAACCTTAACTACATAATATGTGTCAACAGGATAGTAGTAAATTTTGTAATAATTTATTTATTGTGACAGATTAAAATGAAATCAGATTAAAATGAAATTTTAATATTTTTTAGGGATGATTTAAAAAATTTTGGGAGACATTTTTTAGGGTTAGAGTTAGGGTTTAGTGTTAGGTTATTAAAAAAAGAGTATAAGTGGGTTTTATAAGCTTTAAAAGAGAGCAAAAGAGGTCACCCGTTTCATTTTAATCTGATTTCATTTTAATCTGTGACATTTATTATATTAACACATAATAAAAACATGATTTTTAGATAATTTAGAACTCTGAAATATATATAGAGGGGTAAGGTTTTACAAAAATTACTAAATTTAGAAAGATCTGCAGAAAAAGTCAAAAATAAGCAAACTAATTACTATAAATAGAAATAATCTGTACAAAAAGGATCAAAAATAAGCAAACTAAAACCTTACCCTTATATATATATTTCGGGGTCCTGATAATTTCAATTTATACTATATTTCATCACCTTTTACGCTAGTATTATTGTAATTTTAATAAATTGTTTAAAGTTTATTTATCTGTATGTCTTGATTGATATTCTCCTTGTTCTTAATATATCTATTATTAGCTATTAATTGATATTACAACAAGTTTGTCTTTTTTAATTTTTTTTCTATATGCAAGCTGCTATTCTTGAGTCATTAAACCCTTTCATTTTTTTTTCTCACTTTATTTTATATGGTTATTTGGATGTATAGGTTCTTTTGTGTTTTATTAAAAAAAGAGTTATTTGAATTAGATTACTGGATGGCTAGAAATTTAATTTTTATTCAGAAGATCTACATAGTTCTATAAAAACATTTTCAAGGCAAAGACCCACATCTTTTTTTATTTTATTTAATATTTGCTTATAATAATATATTTATAAACAGAATATATAAATATTTAAAATTTTTTTTTATGATATGCATTTTAAAGTTAGTTGCTATATTTTTTTCATTACTATAATACATATTTTTAAGACAGTTGCTATGTTTTAAACTAAGATTTCAGTAACCAAAATTAATTTAATTTAGGTTCAATTTTTCAGATTTTGAACCTAAATCAGGACCATGTAAAGCATGAACTAGTCATTTTAAAATTTTTATAGAGTATGTGTTGTAGGTCTCTTACCTAGGTCAGGTAGCCTGTTCAGGTCATCTGACCCAATGGGTCACAGGTCAAATTTTGATCTAACCCAAGTCAAACAGGTCAAAGCCCAAATTAATAAATAATGTAGCTGTGTGATATTGTCACACAAAAACAGGAACAGAGGTTATATTTGAGTAATATTTTTACAGTAAACTTTTTTGTAAATAAGCTTATAGTAATATATTATATATTTGTATTGAACAATCTACTATGTATTTCATTTTCTTGGTTATTCATATAATAGTCAGTTTAAAGGTTTGAAATAAAAGAAATCATGTTGTATAGAAAAAATATATATATAAAAAAACAATTTTTATTTAAAAAATTGCATTAGGTTCAACGTTTGTTATATTTTAATTGGATAAACTTTAAGCTTACGTATGAATATATATACATTAATTTTTAATTAATAGTCATTTGAAAATGACATTTAACATTATAATGAAATCATTTTAAGATTCAAAATCTATTAAGTGGCTTGATTTTACAGAATTACGAATTTACACATAATATATAAGAACTAGTCTAGGAAAATGTTGATTTGGAAGTTAAAGATTCTCTGACTAATTAATATAATTGAAGCTTATCTTATATAAAAATTAATTAATTTGATAATTAATCAGAAATCATTTAATTCACAAATCAACAATTTCTAGTCCAGTTCTCATATGAGTGCTACCAAGGTTATACAGTTAATAGTTTATGGAAAATCTATTATGATAATAAATTTTCTATAGAAAGTTAACTGTGCGCAAAATATAATTGAAAGTCTGAATGGCCTTTTTCCCTTGGCAGCACTTATATATTGTTGCAGCTGATGCCAAAATTTGAATCTATTTTTATATGTTTAAAATTTTTGGGTATTTTTTCACTACTTTTTTTAGAGTTAAAAATTTGATAGTTAAAGAGTATAGATGGGGTTTGATAGGGTTATGTTTTTAAATTGAGACCCCAAATTTCAGCATTAGCTGTGACTTATATTTTAGACTTGAACCATTTTGGGGCAAGGTAGAGTTGTTAACTTACTTGTTTAACCATTGAGGCTGAGTCAAGTTAATGTTAATGCTGGTAGAAATTGTTATATGATTTGCCTATATTATAACACACAAGGGCTATGTAAGTTATGGTTATCAGGTAGGTTTAATAATCCTAGAGCAGGTCAACAAGGGTATTGACAACATAGTTAATAGATTACCAAATTTAGTTTCTACCCAAAATTAGGAACGCAAAATGATTTTGTTTAATATTTAGAGTGTTCTACACATAATGTAATAGTCATGGGATTGAGAGTATCCCCAGGATCTTTAAAATCATTTAGTATTTTTATTTGCTATTTACAAATATTTATACTTGCTTATTTTCTATTTATCAGATGTATTCGAGTCTTAACTAACTACTAGTCTTCACGTGTATTTTGAAATCACATCTTGAATAACATTAATAGATTTTATTTAGCATTATATGTTTAAGGTGACAGTTAATTCTAAATAAACGGATATGTTATATGAAATAACCAAATAGAAAAAAAATGATTATCGTTACTGAAGCCTTTCACTTTTCTAAAAAAATGGATATTAAATAGGACTAATAAGCAGAATAGATACAGTACCAGACAGTAAAAGATATCCACTCTTTATTAGTAAAACTTTAAATTGTTATAGCTTTTTAAAAAAAAATAAAATCAAAAAACCCTCTGACAAATTGATAGATTTTTAGCTAAACTATATTTCTGTCAGATGATTTTTTTTTATTCTTTGTTTCAAAAAAGTTATAAGGGATTAAAGTTTATATGAGTTCAAAAAATTAGCATTTAATATAGAAAAAAAAAACATATATAAATTTTTAACTAATCAAAATCAATTGCACAAAATTAGCCAATCAAAATTGATTATGTAAGCACCAAAAATTGGCGCCTATATGTATAGATTGGATGTCTTTTACTGTCCTGTACTGTAGAAGCATGAATAAATCGGATAAGTCCTTTATACCATATTTGTATAAAATCGATAGTTAATATATTAAGCCACTTTTTTAGAACTAAATTAATAATTTATGAGCATACGTGCCATAAGCAATTCATTATCCAAGAATGATACAATAATGAAATATGCATGAAACTTATACACCAGATATCATTGCAATTAATTAAACTAAATAGAACAGAATTCGCAAAAAAGACAAGTACGGCTAAGTTATAAAAACTGGGTATAACTTTTTGTACATGTAGAGCTTAACTAACAGAGTTATACGTATACAAATCCACATATATAATAGGCGAAGTTAAATCAGAATACAATTTATTTAGGGCTATACCCAATCAGAGGCCAGTATTTGTACACACTATTTTACTCTTCAGATAACTATACACTTCATTGCATTTTTCTCTAACCCTTCTTGTCTTTATGTTTATTCATTTTCTTTTCAGAATTTTTCAAAACTTCTGCATTTATATTTTTTAATTTTACCTGGCATTATACACCTTGGCCTAAATTAAATATACTTTAATTTTCCTATATAAAATTTAGATGGGATAAAATGTGCATGAAATCCATCTCTAGGTTCATTACATGGTAATAAACTTTAAATTTATTCACCTGATCTGCTGACTCGGGTCATGATCTGGGTCAATATTTCATTACCCGGGTTTGACCTGGGTAATAGCCCTAATGTGTTGAAAGGTTTTCATCTTAGTTCTCTTAGCTATAGCCAATTATTACCTTAAAATAATACTCATGTATATATTTAGCATATACAATATTTAATATTATACAGAAGTAAATGAATATATAGTATTTAAATCTAATATAATAAAATATAAAACTTTATTATCAAATATATATCAATAGCTAATATATACTATTTTATATAACAATATTATTATCTTATATAATTGTTAAATTCTAAATAATAACTATCTATTCATTATTATATAATTTTGCAGCCTTTTTTAATACTTTTCTCCATCCGATTTTTTTAACTCCCAATCTGTCAAATTCATTATCCATTAAATCAAATATCATATCAGTTGTTATATTTTCATCTTTGAATTCTTTTTTAAAAGCTAAATATTCACCAGTATTTCCATATTCATTATCAACTTTTTCAAAAATCTATCTAATGATGGAATAGATAACTTTCTATTTTGTAAATTATTTAATTGAGGTGTAAATGAATTAGAATAAAGTTGGTTGAACATTTCTTGATTAGTTCCAATTTGTGACAAAGGATATGAAATAGAAATAATTATAGGTTGCATAGATTGCATAGGTTGTATAGATTGCATAGGTTGCATAATTTGGAAATTACTTGATAATGGTGCTATTTCATTTTGTAATCTGTCTTTCTCATTACTATTACGGATATGTTGACTTTTAAAAATTGGATGAGTGGGTGGTACTTCACTAGAACCAATACCATTTATCTATATATATTTTAAAGTTTTAATTAAATTATATAATTTTTCTTTATTTTAAAGTAGAATACTTACAATCTCTTTAGCCCAAATTGAAAGATGCATTGACGTTAATTTGTTATGAAAATTATCTTCAACTAAACATGCATTTGTATGCTTTGTACACCAATATTTTTCTCGTAAAAGATTTACATATTGACCATGTAGTTTTTCAGCTTCGGATAAGCTTGATTCCTTTGGTATAGTTTTTTGTTTTTTTGTTTTAATTTTAATTTCGTCTGATGATGAATCTTCACTATTTTCAATAGGCTATATTAAATTATATAATAAGTAATTAAGTATTTAAATAAAAATATTAATTAATTAATAAAATTAATAAAAAATATTTACTTTTTCATTCTGTTTTATAATATTTTTTTTCATAATTATAAATTTTTTTTTTTCTTTGGTTGCTTTTTTATTATCTAATATAAATTTTTTGTAATCATTAGAATCTTTTAATTGTATCCCAGCGCCAGTTGCTTTTTCAAACTTATATGCAATAAAATAATTATTAATATTAGTATTATTTATTTCCTGGGGGAGTAGAAATTATAACGGAGGTTACCGATGATCATAGTACATGGATGGCCCTTCGGGCCATCCACGTACTATGATCATCGGTAACCTCCGTTATAATTTCCCCACAGGAAATAAATAAGTAATCCCCAGGAGCGTGTCACTAGATGTTAATCGGACTACCTACAATTTTTTTACACGTGTTCCATATTTATATTCGTATTGTGCTTTACTAACTTTTGGGCTTCGATTTATTATTTTTTTTATTTACATCATTTTTATTGTTTTACTCTTTTTACCGCCTTTGCATTTTTCTTCTACGTTTAACTTTTTTCAACCACTTATTTTCACTTTGCTCTTATCGTGCCTTTTTTTTTAGCTTCATTTTACTGTGTATATTTACTTTGACTTTTAAAGTTCTTTAGATAAAACGTGAAAAATACAAAAAAGAAAAATGATTCAAATCAAAATTAAGCGTTAAAAATTAGAGTTTCCCGATGATCAATATGAGACCGGGAACCTTCCGTGGGAAGATTCCTGGTCACAATATGATTATTATAAATATGGTTAATGTTGTGTAAAAAATAATAATGAAGGTAGTCATGAGTGACACTTAGTGCGACAGGGGATTAGTAAGATTAATATGCTTCAACACCCTATTTTTTTTTTTGGGGGTACCATCATAAATACAAACATAAATAAGAATAAAAGTTAACCTAGAGTTAATACCTCTATCCGGATTTATATATCCGGATATATACTATGTCATGTGATATAGTGTGACATAATATTATTAGTAGCTATACCACAAAATATTTTCCGTTCACGTGTTTCTCGTTACAATTTTATGCCTCATCACATGACATTATTTTTATTAAACACAATCAACCAATTTTTTTTATTTTCTTTTGTCGCTCTTTTACGTCGTTCTTTCTGTCGTTTTTTTGGTGATTTTTTACGTCGTTCTTTTGGTGACTTTTACGTTGTTCTTTTGGTATGTTTTTTTTTTTTCGGTGCTTTTTACGTGTTTTTTCAATACTTTTTACATCGTCCTTTTGGTTCTTTTCATGTTCTTTTGGTGCTTTTTTCGTCGTTCCTTTGGTGCTTACATCGTTACTTCGGCGCTTCTTTCGTTCTTTCGGTGCTTTTTACGT